CTCTCTTTAGTTAGTCATGCCCTTTCCTCTCTTCTTATCTGTTGTTTTCTTCGCTTCAAAAAGCAAAATAAGGGAAAAGAGATTTCCTGAAGAGGAGGGAGGGCACCTATTGAAGAGCTCCTGTCTTTACTTAGTCATTCCCTTTCCTCTCTTATCCGTTGTTTTATTCGCTTCAAAAAGCAAAATAAGCGAAAAAGAGATTTCCTGAAGAGGAGGGAGGGCACCTATCTGTAAAGAGCAATCGTTTAGAGGGGAACAGGAGAAGAGGAGCGAGAGAGAAGGACAGAGGAGAGATACAGGGAATCCAATTTCAATAGAACAGCAAAGAAAAGAATAGAAGAGAGATGAATAGAGAAGAGGGAGAGACAAAACAAGGCGCAGAGAAGATGGCACTCTTCTTTATCTATCCTATCTCCCTTATCTCTCCCTTCCCTCTTTCTTTTCGAAATAAGAACAACTAAAGAGGAAGAAATTATGAAAAGGAGAAGAGTAAGGAAAAGAGCAGAAGTAGGCCGAGAAGAGGGACATGATGAAGTACGGCAAGGTCCAAGCGCAAGGAGTCACCCTCTGCTTTACCTTCCACTGCTTTATCATACAAGTTCCTGTCTTGTGTTTTATCAGTTAAACGGAAACAGAAGGAGAGAAGGGAAAGGGAAGTGAGAGAGGAGAGACAACAAGGATGCCATTTTAATTTTCTGGAAGGGTACTGAACAGAAGAGAGGAGACAAGGAACAAGGAGACGGAGGAACACAACAAGGCGCAAAGAAGATGGCACTCTTCTTTATCTATCATCTCTCCCTTCCTTGTCTCTCTCTTTTCCCTCTATTATTAAAAAGGACAAGACCTCTTCGCAGATAGGTGCCCTCTCTCCTCTTCAGGAAGCCCCCTTGCCCTTATTTTGCTTGCTTTCTGAAACGACAAGGAAAACAACACATAGAAAGAGAGGAAATGGAATGAACCAATAGGCAGTGGAGCTCTTCAATTTCTTTCCCTATCTCTTTTCTTCTTTTTTCATTCTTCATTCAACAAGGAAAAGAAACTTCCTTTTGTGTGTTTTTGAGATTTAAAGGAGAACAAGAGAAGAGAAGGGAGAGAGAAAGGAGAGAGGAGAGATCAAAAGGAATGCAACTCTAAATGGAAGAGCAATGAAAAGAATGGAAGAGAAATGAGGACAGGCGAAATGCAAAAGTCAGGCAAAGAGAAGATGGTGCTCGTTTTCATCTTTCCTCTGGTTCTTATTTTTCTCTTCTCTTGTTCATTTCCGTTAGAAAAAACAACAGGAATAACAATGAACATGTAAGCAAACCCAGCTGATGCTCATGATTTTTTCCCTTCTCCCTCTCTCTCTCTCTCCATATATGGGCGATGGAACGGGTGTCCTTGTTGGGGCGTATTCTGGATCTTCAAGTGAGGAACCTAGGTGTTTTCTTTTGTTCGTTTGAAGACACAGAAAGCGATTAAAAGGGACGTCCATTTTGGATTGGCAGCCAACCCAGCTGATGCTCATGATTTTTCTCTCTCTCTCTCTCTCCCTATATATGGGCGATGGAATGGGTGTCCTTTTTGATCGTTTTCTGCATCTTCAAGCGAGGAAAAGGGACACCCCACAAGAGCACACTTAGGGTGTCCCTTTTGCTCGTTTGAAGACACAGAAGGCGATTAAAAGGGACGCCCATTTTGGATTGGCAGCCAACCCAGCTGATGCTCATGATTTCTCTCTCTCTCTCTCTCTCCCTATATATGGGCGATGGAACAGGTGTCCTTTTAGATCGTTTTCTGCATCCTCAAGCGAAGAAAAGGGACACCACAAGGAAACACTTAGGCTGTCCCTTTTGCTCGTTTGAAGACACAGCAAGCGATTAAAAGGGGCGCCCATTTTGGATTGGCAGCAAACCCAGCTGATGCTCAAGATTTATCTCTGTCCCCATATATGGGCGATGGAACGGGTGTCCTTTTTGGATCGTTTTCTGCGTCTTCAAGCGAAGAAAAGGGACACTACAAGAAAACACTTAGTAAGGGTGCCCCTTTTGCTCGTTTCAAGACACAGAAGGCGATTAAAAGGGAGGCCCATTTTGGATCGGCAGCAAACCCAGCTGATGCTCATGATTTATCTCTGTCTATATACGGGCGATGGAACGGGTGCCCTTCCTGATCGTTTTCTGCATCTTCAAGGGAGAAAGAAGGGCACCGCCCAAGAAGGAAAAGTAACATCAGATATAAGGAGGGAAATTGAAGAGCTCCTCTCTTTACTTAGTCATTCCCTTTCCTCTCTTCTTATCTGTTGTTTTCTTCGCTTCAAAAAGCAAAATAAGGGAAAAGAGATTTCCTGAAGAGGAGGGAGGGCACCTATTGAAGAGCTCCTGTCTTTACTTAGTCATTCCCTTTCCTCTCTTATCCGTTGTTTTATTCGCTTCAAAAAAGCAAAATAAGCGAAAAGAGATTTCCTGAAGAGGAGGGAGGGCACCTATCTGTAAAGAGCAATCGTTTAGAGGGGAACAGGAGAAGAGGAGCGAGAGAGAAGGACAGAGGAGAGATACAGGGAATCCAATTTCAATAGAACAGCAAAGAAAAGAATAGAAGAGAGATGAATAGAGAAGAGGGAGAGACAAAACAAGGCGCAGAGAAGATGGCACTCTTCTTTATCTATCCTATCTCCCTTATCTCTCCCTTCCCTCTTTCTTTTCGAAATAAGAACAACTAAAGAGGAAGAAATATGAAAAGGAGAAGAGTAAGGAAAGGAGCAGAAGAGATAGGCCGAGAAGAGGGATATGATGAAGTACGGCAAGGTCCACGCGCAACGTCTGCCCAGAATTAAATAATTTAAATAATTTAAATCCGAAAGGGGCGTTTCGGATTTAAATTATTAAATTATTTAATTCTGGGAAGGGGGGGGGCCCGGTCCTGCCCCCCCCCCCTTTTCGGATTTTAATTATTTTAATTAAATTATTTAAATTATTTAAATTATTTAAATTTTTTAAATTATTTAAATTATTTAATTCAGGGGGTGGAATTAAATAATTTAAATAATTTAAATCCGAAAGGGGGGGTTCGGATTTAAATTTTTTAAATTATTTAATTCCCCCCCCCCCCGGAATTAAATAATTTAAATAATTTAAATAATTTAAATAATTTAAATAATTTAAATAATTTCAATCCGAAAAGGGGGGGGGCCAGGCCCGACCAGGCCCCCCCCCTTCCCAGAATTAAATAATTTAAATCCGAAACGCCCCTTTCGGATTTAAATTATTTAAATTATTTAATTCTGGGAAGGGGGGGGGGGCCCGGGCCTGGCCCCCCCCTTTTCGGATTTAATTTATTTAAATTATTTAAATTATTTAAATTATTTAATTCGGGGGTGGAATTAAATAATTTAAATAATTTAAATCCGAAAGGGGGGGTTCGGATTTAAATTATTTAAATTATTTAATTCCCCCCCCCCCGGAATTAAATAATTTAAATAATTTAAATAATTTAAATAATTTAAATAATTTAAATCCGAAAAGGGGGGGGGGCCAGGCCCAGGCCCCCTCCCCCTCCCAGAATTAAATAATTTAAATAATTTAAATCCGGAACGCCCCTTTCGGATTTAAATTATTTAAATTATTTAATTCTGGGAGGGGGAGGGGGCCGGGCCTGCCCCCCCCCCCTTTTCGGATTTAATTTATTTAAATTATTTAAATTATTTAAATTATTTAATTATTTAATTCCGGGGGGGGAATTAAATAATTTAAATAATTTAAATCTGAAAGGGGGGGTTCGGATTTAAATTATTTAAATTATTTAATTCCCCCCCCCGGAATTAAATAATTTAATTTAAATTATTAAATAATTTAATAATTTAAATAATTTAAATAATTTAAATAATTTAAATCCGAAAAGGGGGGGGGGGGCAGGCCCGACCAGGCCCCCCCCCTTCCCAGAATTAAATAATTTAAATAATTTAAATCCGAAACGCCCCTTTCGGATTTAAATTATTTAAATTATTTAATTCCTTGCCCCAGAACCCCCAGAAACGACAACAGGGTCTATTTGGCAGATGGCTTTTGTGAATAAGCATACGTTTTGGGGTCTTATTTCCTCTTTAAAACCCGAGTCTCAGCTTCCAAATAGACCCTATTTAAGCTGCACACGGGGGGGGGGGAGGGGGTTTGCTTAGGGCTTGCAGGGTTTAGGGGTTTAGGAGTTGAGGAGTTTAGGGTTTTAGGGTTTTAGGGGCTTTAGGGGTTTAGGGGTTTAGGGGCTTTACATAGGGGTTTAGGGCTTTAGGGTTTAAGGGGTTAGGAGGGTTGAGGGTTGCGGGGTTTAGGGTTTAGGGTTGAATGGTTTGGGATTGAAGGGTTGAGAGATTTTGGGGGGTTCGGGATCCAGGGTTTTCAAGTGTCGGGCTTTGGGTTTTGGGGTTTAGGGTTTAGGGTTTAAGGTTTTTGTGTGCTTTTGTTGAGCCTGGTTGAGGGGTACACTTGTGTCTTAGGGCTTACGAGTTTGTTGCCTTGGCCTTGCTAAGTCGCACGACGAGCGTTTTCTTGTTGCAAAACAGTTTTGAGGTTGGGGAATTGGTGTTCAGGGCTTTGGGCTTCTTAGGCTTTTTGGTTGGAGGGCGTTGGGTTAAGGTATTTGTGGGTTCGGGTCAGGGGTCAAGTTTTTGGGGGTTTTTAGGTTTTGGGGATTGGGGTTACAAGGGTTTCGGGTTCAACGGTCTTAAGGGATTTTGGGCTAGGGTCTTGGGGTTCAAGGTTCAGGTTCGTTTTTTAGGGATTGCCAAGGTACGGCGCAGCGCAAATCACCACATCTGGCTTGCAAAGATCACATCGGTGCACGGAAGAGAGCCTACAGATGGGCTTGAGCATCGAATGCAGCCACAAAAACTCATCCCAAATAAGCCTTATAAACATATGATGATTTAGACTGCCGCTCAAAGAAAGCTATCCGAACTAAGTCAGAAGCCCCTATATTACACTCACGAAGCCTGTACGTCAGACAGCATCATCAGCGGCTGGGGAATGTTTGTGCCCGGCTCTGTATGTTCTCCTTGCTACATAATTGGGTATCCATTCGGGGCAGGAAGTATCAACTCCGCGAACAAATGTTCAGGTGAAGTCCACAGGAAAGGTGCGCGACTACCTGTGTGGAGAAGGCTTCTTGGCTTCAGAGGGAAGAGAGCGACTGGACCGTGTGCCGTGTTGGGGCTGTATCCCCTAAACCCTAAACCCTTAACCATCACCTCTAGGCCCTAAGCGTTGAGGCAAGTGAGGTTTAGGGTTTAGGGTGTAGGGTGAGCAAGGGAAGATGGTTCAGCCTTGTCAAGAAGGTGCAAAAGGCCCTCAAGAGATAATCAGACGGAACAGCCGGACCAGTTTGCCGCAGCGAGAGATTGGTAAGCTGCGTGGTGATTTTTCCCCTTTCTGGAACGGGAATGCTCCCCGCGCCGGAGACGACCAGTCAAAGGCTGCGAGGCTTTCTGCAAACGTGCCGGTGTAGCCTTGCCGTGTTCAACGTGCCCTTACAACGAATGTCAGTCATGGTAGGGTCGATGACTGATTGCTGGGTCGTCTGTGGGGATCGGAGCCTACACCGGGGGGGAACTGAGTTCGTCACACGGAAATGCCAAAGAGGCCGATATGCTCTGCAGTTTCACATAAAAAACTTCGCGCCTGAGGGGATTTCCCCCTTAGTCCCTGCAGAAGAAGAAGATGAAGAAAAGGAGGTTTAGGGTTTAGGGTTTAGGGTTTAGGAACAGAGAGAAAGAGAGAGGGAGACGGAGAGAAGCCCTGCCCTGTTGCCCAGCATACGAAGAACAAGAGCAGGTTTAGGGTTTAGGGTTTAGGGTTTAGGGTTTAGGGTTTAGGGTTTAGGGTTTGAGCTGCTGGCGCACGAGGCTCGCGGCAAAAGGTTTAGGGTTTAGGGTTTAGGGTTTAGGGTTTAGGGTTTAGGGTTGAGGGCAGAACAGAAGAAGAAGCGAGCCTTTGTGGGTACATGCCTTTCTTTCAGAATCAAAACCTTCACAGATGAAATGGTCTCCTACAGACCCCCTGAGGCTCCCAAAGCTCTATGATCTCAGGTGCACCCCCGTGCGACGTGGTGCTCAAGGTCGTTTTCGACACGAACGAGAAAAACTACGAGGCCCTGTTGTTCTGGGTTTAGGGCTCAGGGGTGTTCATGGTGTGGGGAGTGACGTCTCGTGCTCCCGAGGGTTTTAGGGTTTAGGGTTTAGGGTTTAGGGTTTAGGGTCTAGGGCTTCTTGCATCCGAGTGACTCGCCCAAACCCACAAGATCTTCATCCTGGGTTTAGGGCTGTCAAGGCTGAGGCACCAGACCCTAGACTTCCACACCACGACTGTAGACAACGAAAATGTTTCAGCTCTCACTTTGTTGAACCTCCAGGGAGGCTTTTAGGGTGTAAGCTTAAGTTTAGGGTTTGGGGTTTAGGGTTTAGGGTTTAGAGTTTAGGGTTTAGGGTTTAGCAATCACAGGGTTTGGGGTTGGGTTTCTTTGTTCCGGCAGGACGACTGGGAAGCCATCAAGTTCCTGGGCAACACGCTTCTTTGGACGATCCATAAGATCGTAGGCCGGGGAGCGGGCTGTAGAGCACAGAAAACGGTTTAGGGTTTAGGGTTTAGGGTTTCGGGTTTAGGGTTTAGGGTGGGAAGCCTCCGCACCAAGGGCTGAGTCGAGGGTGAATCGAGCGCCCGGGTTGTGTCCTTTCGGAGTTTGGGGGTGTCGGTGGTCTTGGTCAGCACTGGTGCCCTGATAAACCTTCACTTGAAAAACCTTCTGCCTTAGTGCTTGGGTTGTTAGGGTGCTGACTCTACTTGAAGGTTCATGGGTGGCTACAAGTAGGGTTAGGGTTCTAGAAACCTCAAGTCCGGTTATGATATATAAGTTATCTTACTTCTCACTCTACTTTTCAGTGCCCAGGAACCTCCCAGTAGCTGGCCTCGAGAAAAGTACCCTAAACCCTGAAACCAGTACAGTGCACCTGCACACGAAGTTACCCTAAACCCGAAACCCTAAACCCTAAACCCTGAACCCTGAACCCTGAACCCTGAACCCTGAACCCTGCAGCCAACAGCGGTGCTCTGCTGCGCGTGTCGATGTCGGCGGATCAGGCGCTGGGTTGCGGAGTCAGCGTGTTTTTTGGGTAAATCCCTAAACCCTAAACCCTAAACCCTAAACCCTAAACCTAAACCCTAAACCCTTTCAACGTAGGCCCTCCAAGAACGAGGATGGGCTACTATACCCTATGACCCTCGAAAAGGCCCTTCACAGGGTTGTTTACGGGAATTACCAGGCCTAATCGCATCCTCGAAGCAGCTGAACCATGAGCATGCACTTGCCTGGTGTAGGGTGAGGGTTTGGTGTTTTCTTGGGGTTTAGGGTTTAGTGTTTCCCCTGAACCCTCAAGCCCCGAGTTCTAAGCCTTGAACTTACTGAAAGCCCTAAACCCGAAAACCTTCCTGAAAACCGTAAAGCCTTCCCTACAAGAACTCTAAAACCCTAGAATCCTTAAACCCCAAAACCCTTAAACCCTAAACCCGACAACCCTAAAACCCTGAAGCTCTGAAAACCCTAAACCCTAAAACGCCTAAACTCCAAAGCCTAAACCCCAAAACCCGCAAAACCCTAACACCTAAAACCCTAAAGCCCTGAGAGTTCGGGAGCGAGTGCCTTCGGGCCTCAAGTACGAACCATGGGACCGGGAACTGAGTTTGTGAGGGTTTAGGGTTTAGGGTTTAGGGTGTAAGGTCCAGTTTGGGATGTTCCCCCTTATACTAGCAGTCCGTAGTAGGGATTATAACAGGGGGTACTGGGATCCCTATTAAGGACTGCTGGTGTAAGGGGGAACATCCCAAGGCCCAGCTCCCGAACTCCGTGCCAAGAGAGCCCGGTTTAGGGTTTAGGGTTTAGGGTTTAGGGTTTAGGGTTTAGGGAGTTCTTTCTCTGTCGCTCTCTCTCTCTCTCTCTCTCTCTCTCTCTCTCTCTTTGAGGTTGAGACCCTGGTCAGAAAGCCCCCAAGCCTACACATCGCCACATCAAGACGATCCAGCGAAATCTCGCAGCCCTGAAGCCCTAAGTCCTAAACCCTGCTAGGCACAGTTTTCCTGAGGCACCATACAGCCATATAGTTCCCTGCAGAGAGGCCGCGAGGTCAGCTAGGCGGGTGGCAAGAAATGAACCTAAACCCTAACCCTAAACCCTAAACCCTAAACCCTAAACCCTAAACCCTAAACCCTAAACCCTAAACCCTAAACCCTAAACCCTAAACCCTAAACCCTAAACCTTAAACCCTAAACCCTAAACCCTAACCCTAAACGCTAAACCCTAAACCCTGAACCCCGGGTGGCCAAAAACCTTGGCAGCCCAGTGGTACCCTTCTCCCTTTTTTGGTTCAAGGTTCCCTTAGAAAAGCAACCAACCCCAAAAAAGGGGTGCCCTCATCAGACTATGGTTACTGGGCTACCAAGAAACTGAAAGGAAGCCGCCAGGTGGAGATGATCCAGCACGGCGTCAGCGCCGGCTTAGACACCTGGCAGGCGGTCAAGCAAGGTGGGGGGGGGGGGATCTTGCTGTTGAAGGGTCCAGCCCTGTACCCCCCCAGTTGGGTTTTAGGGTTTCGGGTTCAGGGTTCAGGGTTTAGGGTTGGGTTTAGGGTTTAGGGTTTAGGGTTTAGGGTTTAGGGTTTAGGGTTTAGGGTTTAGGGTTTAGGGTTTAGGGTTTAGGGTTTAGGGTTTGGGGATACTTGAAGGTTCATGGGGAATTGCAAGTCGGGTTATAAGTAAGGTCAACTATATGGTGCCGCTCAATTCAGGTGCTGATTACCCTACTTACAACTAAAGCCTAAACCCTAAACCCTAAACCCGAAACCCTACACCCTAAACCCTAAACCCTAATTGCCCATGAACCTTGAAGGGCGTGTAGCGGGCGCTTGATTGAAGGTTCCTGGGCATACAGCTACTTTGTCATAGTTGGGCAACATTTTTGATTTTTAAAGGTACTTAAACCCAATAAGGAATGTCAATTATATTTTTTAATATTATCCCAACAATGTTTCCTTTTCCTTTTGACCCTCGAACTTGTGAACTCTTCTTCGAACAACTCACAGATCACACGCTCACTTCGTTCACTTGAGTCTGTTGAGATCCATGAATTCGGAATTCTCGAGCCTTTCAGCACAATCGAAAGTCTTTCGCCATTCTTTCGCCTAAACACATCCTTGTTCATGCTTCCTCGTTCTTAAGGGGTTGTTTTGCTAGTGTGGATCCCTGTAAACCCTCAAGCCTAAAGCCTGAATTTACCTCCTTCTTTTCAGGGAGATGCGGCTCGAAAGGTTTCCAGTACTTCTGGGGCGCAGTCTCAGAGATCCCTTTCGTGCGAGCCGCGCCATGTCATCGGAAAGCAGCACGAACACTGAACCCTCAACTGCCAACCATTCTCCCAACCTAGACTGCATACATGCGTCAGTATCATTTCTCTCTGTCTCTCTCCCTCTCTCCCTCTCTCACTCTCGCTCTCTGTGAAGAACGTTGATGCCGAGAAAATAGATAGAAATAGATAGACAGTTTAGATGTATATCTGCTTGATTTATTTATTCATACGAGTTATTAGTTATAAAAGTCATAGACATGCAAGCATACGGCGCCGAGCATCGCCGTCCATCAGGGCTTGGTGCCGTCATGGATGAGTTCGATCTTCGAATCGAAGACCTCAATGCCAAGAAAGGCAGTTCTGAGTTAGCCTCAAAGTGTCTTGTGCTTGAGCGTGCCATGAGCCCGACAAGTAAAAGGACACTTGCAGGTGGGTAGCTACTGTTTATATAAGCCTCTGATAAAGCAGTCTGGGTTGGGATGTTCCCCCCCAAACTCACAGTCATTAGTAGGGATTGTAATAGGGTGTACTATAATCCCTAGTGGGGAGTGTTAGCAGAAGCGAACATCCCAAAGTATTGAGATTCTGTTGAGGATTGAGGGTTGATGTTTGTTGAGCTCAGGGGGTTTTAGGGCAAAACGTCAGGAGCGAGCTCCAGAAAAGACAGGGACACAAGGATAGCGAAGTGCCCACTTGCCCTGCTTACAAAGTCACAAGGGCTTCCAAGTGTTTGGGGCATTGAGGACATGATGTATCCAGCCGAAAACCCTAAACCCCAAACCCCAAACCCTAAACCCCAAGCCCCAAACCCTAAACCCTGAACCTACCAAGCTTAATCTAAGGCTCGAGAAGCCCTACTCAAACACGGCCAGGCCTGGAAGTCATCAAGGGCTTCGACGCAGACCAGGACTTCCCTTTTTTGGGGGGGCGTTTAGGGTTTAGGGTTGAGGGTTTAGGGTTGGGTGAAGTTGCAGGTTTGCAGAATGTTAGTCGTTGTATGTATGTCTGCCTGGGCAGAAAGAGTGTCGCCCCCCCCCCCCCCCCCCCCCCCAAAGCCGAATCCCTTAAGAGGAGCCGCCAAAAGGCACACCCCTATCTGGCGGACCCGAATGTGCGAAAATTTGTAGCCCGAAACCTAAACCCAACTCCCCCCCCCCCTCCCTCCACCTAAACCCAACTCCCCCCCCCCCCCCCCTTCCCCCCCCCCCCCCTTCCCCCCCCCCCTTCCGCCCCCCCCCTCCCCCTGCATCTGCTGAGGAGCTGAAGAGGAAGCTTGGAATTGATGCAGTGACCTTCGACGTCCCCAAGGTCCTGATGACAACGCAGCTTGCCCGAAGGTTATAGCGGAAGTTTAGGGTTTAGGTTTAAGGTTTAGGGTTTAGGGCTAGCATAACTAGTGTATTAAGCAAAGGATTGAGCAATCTCGGAAGTGTTTCTGTTTCAGTCTCACCTAGGGTGCCTCTTGGTTGGTGGGTCTAGCGCGCAGGAAGGGGGCCGGGGGGCTGAGCTGGGAGTTCTTTTGGTTTTTTGAAACCCATTGGCTTGGGCCTGAATCCCTACTTGAAGGTTCAGGTGTCGTTAGAAGTAGGGCTCTAAGTACTTGAAGGGTCATGGGTAGTTACAAGAAGGGTAGTAAGTAAGGGAACCTATACTGTAAGCCTGATTCAGGTACTTATAACCCTCCTTACAACTACCCATGAACCTTCAAGTGAGCCTATTTATCGGGGTAAGTAAGTGTTTCAACGGAGGGGGTTTCTCTGTTCAAGAGTCTGTAGGTATCAAGCCTTCGGCGCAGTCATACAGCTGAAGGCCCAGCGATACGTCCGAATAAGCCAGTTGGCGTATAGGGTTTAGACGAAATATGAAGCTCCTAGCAGGCCTCCATTCTTAGCCTCTGCAAGGGAAGGGGCAGCAGGGGCAGTCTTAAACCCTGAACCCTGCAGGTTCGAATGTTGGCAATCTTCGCCTTGGCGGCGCAACAGTGGTTGAGGGAATAGATCCTTGTAGCATAGCGGTCGGAACGATCGGTGACTTCTAGTAGTCTCATATAATCCCCAAACATAGCCATTCGACCAGCAGTCTGAACCCTTTGCGAGCTTCGTCCTCACCCGGAAACCGGGAAGGGGAACTGGAAGCCTTCGACCCGAAAGTCTACCCCTAGGCCAGTAGGCCCCAGATCCCTAAGCAAGGGATGTCGATCACTGTTGAAGTTGGAGTGCTCAGTGCATGAGCACCTAGTACATTTTTGTAGAATACTGAACAGGGCTGGCAACTTCTAGCCCACTCATAACTAGCCCATTTTAGGGGTTTAGGGGTTTAGGGTTTAGGGTTTAGGGTTTAATGAACCCCTTCAAGTAGCCCATGCCATGCCCTCCTGCTCCCGTCAAGCTGAGGTCCCGCTACGTGATGGTCCAAAGCTTTGCGAAAGGTGACACGCTGACGGCCTACCACGCCTCCATCACCGGTCAGGCCCTGCAAGGTACTAGGGTTTCGGCTTTAGGGTTTACGGTTTAGGGTTTAGGGTTTCGGGTTTAGGGTTTCGGGTTTAGGGTGCCCTGGATGTACTTGCTTTTGAGGGTTTAGGGTCTCCCCCCCCCGCTCCCCACACCAGGACCCCCAGAAAATGGAGCGACACTTGGGGGTGGAGGGTGCGTAAGGTTTCGAGTTGCATCCTCACCACCATAAGGTTTTTGGGGTCCCAATAACTTACATATTATATACGGTAGGTTCGCTAAAATGGGGTCCCTGTTGAGATACATATCATCCCATGGTAGTTGGGGCTCTTTTCACAAGATGGCTGGGACGCTTTTAGGCCTTGCTGCAAGTTGCACGCGTGCGGCGAAAGGGGGGTTTTCGAAATTTGGGTTGTGCCTTTTTTTCTGGGGGTGGGGGGGGGTGGGGGGTTCCGTATGAAAGATAGTAGTTTTATGGCATGTAAGTGGTAGCCCTGAGCCCTGTTCCATGGGGTTTCTGCTTTACGTTGCGCCGACTCTACTTGCGGCTGCGGCCTTGAATACGCAACTTCGGGTTTAGGCTTACGGCTTAGACAAGCCGTCGCAGACAGGGTGTAGGGTCAGTCCCCAGTCGGTCATGAAGACCCTAAACCCGAAGCCCTAAACCCTAAACCCTAAACCCTACACCCTAAACCTGTCCCGAAAGGTCGACAAGCTGAAGCAGTGGCGCAGACTCATCTATCCCTCCATCATGGGCCTCTACGGCCCCGTGGTCTCATCTAGGTTTAAGGGTTAGGGTTTAGGGTTTAGGGTTTCGGGTTTAGGGTTAGCCTTTTAGGTTTTTGAGGGTCTTGCGTTCAAAGGGAAAAGCATCCGCACAAAGGGTTTTGTCCTGGGCTGCCATCCTTCTGGGTAACTTGGAGGGTTTAGGGTTGAGGGTTTAGGGTTTAGGGTTTAAGGTGTTAGCGTTTTAGGTTTTTAGGGTTTTAGGGTTGTAGGGTTTTAGGGGTCTGGGTTTGGTCATGACAACCCTACACCGTTTAGGATTTAGGCGTTGAGATTATTTGGCCGTTTCGTGGTTTAAGGTCGGATCTCGCGTGCCCAGGTTGGTTCAGACTTCGATGTGAGTTAAGTTAGGGTTTGAGGTTTTGGGCTTCTGTGGCAGGGGTCTGTGCCTACACTGGTCTGCTGAGCTTGTTTGTGGGCTCCCAGCACATCAAGCAAGCCTCCGCTGGCAAAGCTCGGGATGTTCCCCCTTATACCCAAAAGTCCTTATTAGGTATAATTAAATAGTACTCCTATTATAATCACCATTAAGGACTGCTAGTATAAGGGGGAACATCCCAAGGCAAAGCCCTAAGCCCCAAACTGCGAAAGCCTGCGGTCAGCGAGGCTACCTTATGGTGGAGAAGGGCTTCTTCCAGGGCGACCCCCACCCCGGCAACTGGTACTGGGAGGCCCGCCCTAAACCCCAAACCCTAAACCCTAAACCCCAAACCCCAAAGTGAGGGTCCCCAAACAGCCCGAACAACCCGAAGCCCCGAACCCCCCAAAGCGGCGCATGGGGGGCTTCTGAAGCATCCCATGGAGTCGTCCAGTAGGGTTTAGGGTTTAGGGTTGAGGTTTCAGGGGGATTTTGGGGGGTTTGGGGCTTAGGATGTAGGGGTTTGAAGGGTTTTGGGATTTAGAGGTGCTTGGGGATGCGGGGCACACGCCTCAAAGTGTTGCTCGTTAGGGTTTAGGGTTTCCTTTCAGTATTCATGGTTCAAGACTTGCCGGCGCAAGGCCTAGGTTTAGGGTTTAGGGTTTAGGGTTTAGGGTTCAGCGTTCAGCGTTCAGGGTTCAGGGTTCAGGGTTCAGGTTTAGGGCTAGGGCCCAGGGTTCAGGGTTCGGGCCCAGGGTTCAGGGTTTAGGGTTGGAGTTTAGGGTGTTAGGCATAGTTAGGCTTAAGGACTTTCAGGAATTGAGCTTTTGAGTCCAGGATGCTACTATATATGCGACCCACAAAGAACTAATGAGACCCGAATTAAAGAACTGCCCATTGGTAGGGCGTATTTGGGAATCAGGCTTGTGGTGGGGATGCGGGGCGTGGAGCCGGGTGATAATTCTAGGATGGCACTTAAAACCCTCTGAAAATATTCCGAGATATGATCCTCTTAAACCCACTAATTAAGGCAAAATCCGAAGTATCCCAAGGGCCTGCATACTTGAAGATCTGTCAATATCTGTCAATCTGGGTTGGTGGACAGAGGTTCCCTAAGACAGGAGACCTCATGCAACTTCCATCTGCGCACACCTCATACAGCCCCCCCAGTTCCTAAGCAGCCCCCAACGGCCCCGATCGAAGCCCCTGTAAGGTCCCTCATCCCTCCTTTCATCACAAAAATCCGCGCTGCACACCCCTAAACCCTAAACCCTAAACCCTAAACGCTAAACCCTAAACCCTAAACCCTAAACCCTAAACCCTAAACCCTAAACCCTAAACCCTAAACCCTAAACCCTAAACCCTAAACCCTAAACCCTAAACCCTAAACCCTATAAACCCTAAACCCTAAACCCTAAACCCTAAACCCTAAACCCTAAACGCCAAGCTAAGCCTCCAGTCCCTTGAGGAGAGCTCCAAGACCCTGACCCTTATCGACTGGGGGCTCGCCGACGACCTGAGCGGCGGCCTCGCCCGTGCCGGCCGCACCCCGGCAGGGCGATGAGGTTTAGGGTTTAGGGTTTAGGGTTTAGGGGTTAAGTGCGTGCATGCGATGTACATGCGTGAGCTAAGATTCGATGTATCAAGCACAAAAACTCAAGATATTAAGCCTTTGCAAGACAGGCTTCTCACAACAAGGGGCGCCTAAACCGCGAAAGCCTAAACCCCACACCCTAAACCTAAACCCTAAACCCTAAACCCCGAAACCCTAACCCCTAAACCCCCACTTGACAGCACGGGATTCAGGCCTGTACATCAACGAGAAAGGTGAGAAGCCGAAAGTGAAGGGCGAGGACCTTCTTAGGGTTTAGGGTATTGGCTTTGGGGTTTAGGGTTTCCCCACCCAGCCCAGATGGAAAAAAAACGTTTAGGGTTTAGGTGTACCGCGAAGTCAGGTTTCGGCGACCGCAAGGCCTCAGCTACTTACGAGTTAAACTCATAATATTACAAGATTCATCACTAAATGATGCTACTGGCGCCTCTTTCTGTATCCGTAGATTAGTATATACTTGCGTGCTGATTTTTTCCTATGGTTGAGAGCGTGTGCTTTAGGTATGGTAGCACTCGCGGCTTGTAGCCGGCGGTGGCAGCGGTTGCTGCAGTAGGGCGCCGATGGCCTCTTTTTTCTGGTTTAGGTAAGAGAAAGGCGGGTGCATGTCCTCGAGCTTCAAGGGTTTGGGGTTTGGGGTTTAGGGTTTAGGGTTTAGGGCATTTGTGGGAAAGTCTGGGGGGAGTTCAAGATGCACCTGAGCTCTGAGATCCCCATGCGCATCCTCCTGGGGTTCTTCAGGTTTGTGAGTTGAGGCCCTTCAAAGCACAGGGTTTGGGAGTAGAATAACATAACCTGATATAACAATACAACAACCTAACGTGATAGTAATACAATAACATCAGCGTATATTAAGATACACAATGCAATATTATCGTTTTATACTAAGATACGGGGATATTCTACTGTCTTATCCCACAACCGGAGCCTCTCAAGGGTTAGAGGTGAAGCTGAGGGACGCGACGGTTGCACGGCACTGGTTTCCTTGTTTCAAAGATTTGGGCTCCCTTGCAAAATGCTTGAAACCAAAAAGGGTACCCTTTCCATTCTTAGGTTACTCTTGGGTCACCCTAAACCCTAAACCCTAAACCCTAAACCCTACATAAACCCTAAACTCCTAAACCCTAAACCCCGGGGGGAGCGAAACAAATCTCTTTTCTTGTTGTGGATGACTCTTCGGTCTAGCAGACACGCAGGAAGTGAACCAGTCGATGGTGGACGGCTCTTCAGCTCCGAAGTGTGGGCGGTGGGAGGGGGGAATCTTGAGTTTGGGGACTTCAGGGTCTGGGTTTAGGGTCTAGGGTCTAGGGTCTGGGGTCTAGGGTCTAGGGTTTAGGGTTAGGGTTTAGGGTTTATGTTTTTTAGGGTTGCGGGAGCAGTCCTGGGTTTAACAAAGGGGGTTTGAGTCATGCGTCCGGAAGGAGAAGCGGTTTAGCTTCCGTAAGCAGCAGACCCTAAACCCTAAGCCCTAGCCCTAAACCCCTCCAAGGCTTGATCAAAGAGCGTCAGTGTGGCCTGGCGAAGTTCTACGATCAGATGGGTGACTATCGTCGAAAGGAGCGCCGGAGGTGGATACTACTATGTGGGGTTTCCGAAAATAGGGGTACCCTTTTTTATTGCGTGTGTGTGTGTGTGTGTGTGTGTGTGTGTTTTTTTTTTTTGGGGGGGGGGGGGAGTCCCATAATATGGATTATTGCATTTGGGGGCATATTAGGGTACCCCTATTCTCGTAAACCCCCATATTAATGCTTGATCATCACCTCAACCCTAAACCCGAAACCCTGAACCCTGAACCCAGAACCCAAACCCTAAACCCTAAACCCTAAACCCTAAACCCTAAACCCTAAACCCTAAACCCTTTCAATCTTTGTATGATGATTGGATGGCAAGCACCCGGGCCCGTGTGGCTGCGGATTCGGGCTTCGGGTTTACTTGGAGGTTCATGGTACTTATTGACCAGTTCTAACTGTACCCATAGGGGTTTAGGATTTGGATTTAGGATTTAGGGTTTAGGGTTTAGGGTTTAGGGTTTAGGGTGACTGTACGTGTAACTGTACTACCTCCAAGTAAGTTGTATGGGCCAGACAAGCGACACAGCAGGCATCGGGCCACGTTCGCTGGTAGAGGAATCTATAGAGTTAGAGACGACTTTGTCATGCAGACAGCTTGTAACCTCAGAAGACTGCTTTCGGCTTTAACCACTCTAAGAATATTTCGAAGCTCATCATGTCAATGATACAGATATTTGTCTGATGAGGAAAAGGTCAGCACTGTAACCCCAAACCCAAAACCTCTAAACCCCCTACACCCGAAGCTCCAAACCCAGCCACAGCCAGGAGCTGCTTTGCAATGGCGTCTTGGCCACGGACACCCAGGGCAAGGACACGCGAGACATTGTCAACATCAGGGCGCGGGTTGGGTCCACTGCAGTCTACGGGTTTATGGTTTAGGGTTTAGGGTTTCGGGTTTGGGGACATCGCAAACCTGGAGAGCCCTGCACGCAAAGCAAGAACCCAGTCAGCACGCGGGCCACGCGTCTTAAACAGGTTGAACCCTGAACCTCCACATGATCCCTAAACCCGAAACCCGTGTCATCAATTCTTGTAGCTTGGGGCTTCGGGAAGGCGTGTCCTTAAAGGGGGCTTAGGACTTCGGAGTTCTGCCACATGATCTCTAAACCCGAAGCCCGTATCACCGGTTTCTTATAGCTTAAGGTTTGGGGTTTCGGGAAGTGTCCTTGAAGGGGGCTTCCCTAAACCCTAAACCCTAAACCCTAAACCCTAAACCCTAAACCCTAAACCCTAAACCCTAAACCCTAAACCCTAAACCCTAAACCCTAAACCTAAGCCGTAAACCCTATTTAGGAGTTCGGAGTTCAGAGGGCTCCGCCAGAGGAGACCATCCTGGTTCCTGCCAATGGCCCCACGATGCTGCTGGAGGGAGACTCAAGCGCACGTTTCAGCCTCGCCCCCTTTTTGGGAACGGCGGCGCAAGAGAGAGGGAGAGAGAGGAAAGGAAGATGGGGAGAGAGGGAACACCTAGACCCGAAGAAGGAGACCCTGCTGCATGTATCGTGTAGGATCTGCTGTTCCTTCTGGCATCCACTTGCACAAAACCAACTTGTGCAAGTGTGTGAGGGGACCATGGATCCCGGGAATCCCGACTGGCTATTTGCGCAATGATATCCGGATCCCTCTTACAATTTCCGACACTGTCCCCGAAGGGACACTGGAGATGTGCCCCGCAAGCCCAAGGAACTGAAGTTCGGTTCCACACGAAGTACTTCGGCCGCAACCTCACGGTCAACGAGGCGCCCCCAGCGGTTCGGCCGGTTTTCAGGGCTCGGGGGAACCCTAAGCCTAAACCCTAAACCCTAAACCCTAAACCCTAAACCCTAAACCCTAAACCCCAAACCCCAAACCCCAAACCCCAAACCCCAAACCCCAAACCCCAAACCCCAAACCCCAAACCCCAAACCCCAAACCCCAAACCCAAACCCTAAACCCTAAACCCTAAACCCTAAACCCTAAACCCTAAACCCTAAACCCTAAACCCTAAACCCTAAACCCTAAACCCTAAACCCTAACCTAAACCCCTAAACCTAAACCCCTAATTAATGCAAAAGTGTTTGGGGAACCTGGGAGAGCAAGGTTGCCTGAGGTTACGCGTCCTCGGGAGAACCCACGGACTGGCACAGGCCATTCCTCCATTTAGGGTTTAGGGTTTAGGGCTTAGGGCTTAGGGTTTAGGGTTTAGGGTTTAGGGTTTAGGCTTAGGGTCCCTCAAAAGGCTCGCCCCTGTTTGGACAACAGGGATCCATCATGTAAGAAAATTTCTGATTTTGTGGTTCATGTTGGAAGCAAAATGCTGATTTTGTGGTTCTGTACTGATTTTGTGGTTCATGTTGGAAGAAAAATACTGATTTTGTGGTTCATGCTGGCGTCTTTGGAGGCCCTCACCGACAAGTTCTTCGGGACACCGCTGTTCGGCAACCTTGCCAGCATTCTTATGCTTCGAGGCCCCCTAAACCCTAAAACCTAAACCCTAAACCCTAAACCCTAAACCAAGTGGGCACGAGGGGGTTCTTGAAATCCAGGTGGTTCGGTTTTAGGGGTTTCAGGGTGTTGGGTTTAGGGTTTAGGGTCAAAAGGGGATCTTCACGAAGATTTCTTCAAGATGGCCAACCTAGCAGGCACGCGCCGCAGCCTTGTGTGCCCACCTGCTTGGAGGTTCATGGTACTTACTAACCAATTATAACTGTACTTATAACTGTAATAACTGTACTTATAACCATATTGGGGCACTTAAGGGGCTTATAAGTGGGTTATAAGTAGAGTTACAACTGCTCAATAAGTACCATGAACCTCCAAGTACATGTGGGCACGACCGCCTTAAGTCATAGATTAGCCATCCACCGAGGCACCCCAGCCAACGTGGGGAATTTCGGGTACCCTTTATTGGGGGCTCCCATGGAAGGGCTTACAAACCCTAAACCCTAAACCCTAAACCCAGTATGTTGGGGACATGTGTGTAGCATGGCGGGGGGGGGGGGGTGGGGGATCAAGGCAACTCCTGTGCCCGGGGTGCCGACAGCATGTGAAGCACGGGTGCACGCAGCATCCCCATCTCAAGTCCCACCCCAACGGGCTGAGGGTGTTGGGGGTTTAGGGCCAAAAGGATTTAGGGTTTGGGGTTTAGGGTTTAGGGTTTCGGGTTTAGGGACCCTTCAACGTGCACTCCGCACCCTGGAACAAGGCACTGGCAGCGGGAAGCCGTTTATCCTGCAGAGGAACAGGGCTCGGGTTGTTTGGCGGGGGAACTTAGGGCCTGGAGGTTGGGGCGTAAAGGGTTTAGGGTTTTAGGTTCAGGGTCTAGGGCCCTAAGCCCTCTCCACCCCAGGAGGGTTGTTGGGCTCAACATTTGAGGCGTCAGTTGGATGCAGGGGGGGTCTCGGGCTTTTAGGGCTGTTTGTGCCCAGCCCTGGACCCCTTGTCACCTCAAAAGCCTCTGTCTCGCTAACCGCGCAACCCCTCAAAGCCCCAAGTCCTCCACCGCGCATCGACGAGGCTCAAGACCCCCCACCCATGGCAACCCCAAACCCCCCTAAAGCCTTGAAGCCTCAACGCCCCTAAACCCCAAACCCCAAACCCTAAACCCTAGACCCCAAACCCTAAACCCTAAACCCCAAGCCCTAAACCCTAAACCCTAAACCCTAAACCCCAACCCCCTAAACCCTAAACCCTAAACCCTAAACCTCTTTGTTGAAGGCGCCGCTCCACGACCTGCCTGGCGGATGACGTTTGCGGCCACGGCTGGGAGCTGGTGCCTCGAGAAGTCAAGCTGAAGCGGTTCTTCGGGGTGTGTTTAGGGGGTAGTTTTTGAGGTGTTTTTATAAGGTTTTGTTCGGTGTTTTCGGGGTTTTCAATAGTTT